ATTAGGGAGCTGCAGATAACACGGGCCACCAAAAGTTGCGGAGTTTGTCTGTCCTCTGTACCTAATCTGTCAGCTATTAACCTGAGCTATGAACCGGTTTAATATTACCCTGAAGCCCGAAGGGTTGAGACTCCGTCTGAATGCTGAGCTCTCGGCGGTTCTGAAAGAGTGTATTATAAAGGCACAACAATGTAATCTGCAGGAACGCATTTGCCGGATTCAGTAACGGGAAACCCTGACAGTAATCCGGATTAAAATGGTTCTGGAATAGCAGGGAAAAAAATCATTTTCTTTATCAGACAAGGTGGCTTCATTTCAACAACATTGTTGCATTACAGGAGATCAGCACAGTGTGAACGAGATAAGTTATACAAAAATGTAGGATACAGCCCAAACCCAAAACATGCAATAAAAGTACACATTACCTTTCCTTCCTTTTTACCTTCTGCTTTCAGATGTGTTTTTAACTCCTTCAACTGGGTTTCTGGTCTTTAAAGCTGATTTTATTCTTGAAAACGACAGTGTGAATGCCCTGCTTTTTAGAAATTCCAACACCTTTGATAATTCATGCATTTGGTTATAATAATAATAATTGCTTACACTTATATAGTGCTTTTCTGGAGACTCCACTCAAAGCACTTTACAGGTAATGGGGACTCCCCTCCACCACCACCAATGTGCAGCATCCACCTGAAGCTGAAGTGTATATCTGAACCATCTTGTGGATTAGCTGGACAAAATCCACATTTTCTTCATGGCTGTCTGTGAATTCAGTTCTGACCAATGTTGGAAATCACAGAAGCTCTGCTTGTTTCAAAACAGCCCAGTTCACGTTCCAAGTCTGGAAAGATTCATGCAGCTCCAGTACACTACAACCACCTTGAGAAACTGCAGGTGTAATGAGTAACTGTAGAGAGGGGATCAAGCTGAACTCATTCAGCAGGAGGCCATAATACAATTGTGGCAAAATACCTAGCATAAAACAGGAGGAACAAACACAGAGGGCCCATGCATTCTTTAGAGTTTGCTGCCATGATACTTTTACTGTAGGCATGGAAATACTGTGGGACAACAGAACAATCTCTATTTTCGTGTGGGTTCACATTTTAATGTCAGTGTGCTTTGGTTAATATTCCATAAACTACAGATCATGTGGCATTTCTGACTACTGAAAACATGCAAAACAACAAATATATTCAGACTTTTCAGCTGGAGTTTGGTTATTTTTCGGCTCCAGTTTGGAATGAAGGAGACATTTGCCTGTCTTCACTGCAGTTAAGCGTTATTTTGGTTACAACTGTTCATATGAATTGTTATTTGTACAAAATATTGAAATGCATCCTGGAAGCTACTGGCTGGAACTGGAGTTGTATTGTCATTCTGAAGTCTGCTGGCAACCTTTGGCCTGCAAGTGGTTGTTTTGATGTTTTAGCTGCTTCCTGATTGGTCACACAGTTGGCTTTAAGGTTTGTGCTGTCAGTGTAAGGGGTTGTTAGGCTATAAAGCCGACAACCCCTATGTGCTGAGTGAGCAAACAGAGGGAGATAATGATTCTATATGTTAAAAGATTAGTGGATCCCTGTGAGCTTTAACTTAGTAACCACATAACTCACATTTCATTTGTTTAAAATAAAACAAAAGGAAAAAGTGTCCACTTCACTCATTGCTGCCTTGTGATCACAACCACACTCCCTCCCCTTGCCTGCCCGGGTTCAGATCCGGGCTGTGCCCCTTCGTGGGAGGCAGTATCCCAGGCCCATCTAGCGTCGGGGATGATGTGAAATCCACAGGGATTGGGAGTGTCCTGATGGCCACTGTTCCCCTGGCAGACGTATCAGAAGGTACCAGGCAGGCAGTCATTTTTCTTTTCACGAAGGTCCTCTTCCAAGGAAACAAAGTCATGTTGTAACTGTGTGAACTAGGTTTTAATTAAGCATTATGTCAAAACGTCTTCAGCGCACGGTTTCCTTCAGGAGAGGGCAGCACAGTAATGGGGTTCTGCGTCGCAGCTCCTACAGGCTGAGCTCGTTCAATCAGATGCTTGCCTCTGGCTGCGATGAGGGTCATGCCTGCCACCTGCAGAGTTCGCCGCCTTCAGAGGAAGAAAGAGAAGCATCTGGGCTGTTCCAGGTTCTCACTTCCCCCAGTGCAGCCTGTGCATCTGTTTCTCGGAGGAGAAGTCCTGTCTGAAACCGCGCCGGTGCTAAATCTGATGTAATCATGCAATTAAAAAAAATGTATATAAGCTTTTTAGAATCTGGCCTTCTTACACCACCCCCTCCCTTTACCAAGGGGTGTCTACCTGTTCCAGCCCGAGCAAAGGTACTAATCTCCACGCCAATCTGCCCTCCAGCATGAGGCGGCCGGCTCTCTGCGGCGCGCGGGGTGAGGGGTGTTCAATCCAAGCAGGCAATCGCAGAAGAAGACGCGTGCTCGCAGACTTGAGCACGGTCACTCTGCAGCCGGAGGGGAAAAAAAGGTTATTTGGGTGATCAGTTGAGCTGAGTAAAAGACATTTGCTAAACGTCACTTATTTCTCATGGTACAAGCTGAATCCCCGTTTCCCCCCAGTTTCCAGGTATGCTCTGACCTGTGCACGAGCATTCAGTGAATCTTGGGGTCCCTGCCCTGGGGACCCCCACACCTGCTGGCGGTCGCTGTGTAGCGGAGCTAGTTCAGATACGGTGATGTCACCGCCCTCTGTGCGCGTAGCAGGGACCTCAGCTGCCTGGGCTGGGGGAGGTCTCCTTTAGCTCATGCGGCTGGTTCCCTGTTGCGTTAGGCCGGAGACCTGGGTTCGCGCCCCAGGTGTTGCGGGACGAAACAGGTGGCGGAGGGCACGACCCCGTGCGGAACTGCGACGGTCACAACCGCAGCCAAGTTCTCAGATGTATAACCAAGCTCCTAGTTGACCCGAATTACATTATTGACGTGAACTCGCTTTGTTCTTGGCTCCGAACCAGGGGGGCTGGTGCTTTTTTAAAGACTGAACCTCATTAGGACTCCGACTCGTAAGCTGGGGAGAAACAAAAACTGGCAAACCTGAGGGTTTAATGAAGTTTGGATTGAGTGAAATTAAAGAGCTTGGATGAAATAAAGCCCTGCAGGTGTGGGGTAACCTGGACCCGGGACCAGGGCTGGGAACCTCTCTATAAAAAACCCAGGAGCAATGGGAGGCCTGGTGAGCTCTTTCTGACTCTGTCTCTGTGCCTCTGGCAGGGTGAAGCGGCGATGCTGTATCTCCGACACTGCCAGGGCCTGCTCAGGGGCTGCCTCTCCAGGACACACAGGTACGTTTCTTTTGAGTAACCTTCAGAAGTTCGATTTAACCAAGTCAGGGTTTTCCTAATCAAGAGTCAAGAGTTCAGCTGGGAAAAACCTTGGGATTGGCTGCTGGCTGGAGGTCTGGGGGTGGACGGCCCTGTTGGTGGCGACGACCAATGTCTGAACTTAATTGAGACAGGATGTCACAAAGCGCGTCAGTACATGAACAGAAAACCAGATTGCTGTGAGTTGGAGGACCAGTAGGGGGCAGTGTTCCTCTAGACAGAGAGTATGAAGCCAGAGCCCCGCTACAGTGCCAGGGGGCATTGCGGTGTCTTTGCAATGAAGCATTCCCATTGCAGATGTTAAATGTCCCTTCGAGCATTTCTCCAGAGAAGGATGCTAACTTTTATGTGTTTGCTGAATACCTGAAGTCCCCCTGCCTTCATCAAGAGCTTCACTCCTGCCCCAGGGCACATGCTCTGGACTGTTATTTGATTCCTGTGTTCAAGTTTCACAGGAGGACCGCTGTCTCTGGTTCCTCTCCAGAGACTGCAGCATTTTGGCTCACATTTGTTTAATGAAAGGTTCTTGGGCATTCTGACTAGGAGAAAGAGCTGTCGAAAGATTAGACTCCAGGCTGTAGGATTCAGGCTTCTAGCAGCATGGTTAAATGATATAAAAACTTTTTTTTGTCAGCACAGCAGCAACTGTAGGTGTCATGTTTCTTTCTGGGGTAAACTGAATGTCTGCCAGGCACAGCAGCAGAGGTCAATGTGCTGTGGAAAGCAGAAGAGTACACTCACCCTTATCTCCCAGCCCTGCAGCACAGGCAGGTAATGTCTGCCTCTCTATTTGTCTTTGGATTTGTAGGCTTGGCCATATTAGTACTGTTTGTGTGCACCACTCTCCTATTCAAACAAGCTCTTAAAATGCCTGGCTTTTGAAACCTGCATGCAAACCCCAAATTTAAATTCCAGAGATGGCTCTGTAACAGCAATGAAGAAACAAGGCAGAATACAAGAGATTCTAGGTGAATTTTTGAGACCACTGTTCATACTACTTTAATTTTCTAATACCAAATTCACTTAATTTTAATTGCATTGGCATTTTAACATGTTAAAGAGAAAGAAAAGAAATCTTACCTACTTAATGCCAAGAGTGACTACATGGCTTAGACTAGCCTTTGCAAAGAGCTTAAAGGATCCTGATGAAAGCCTAGTATGATCTGAGGATTTTAGATACCTGGCCTGTGCTGCAGCAGACTAAATAGTCTTTCATACTCAGCAAGTTTATTTAGGATATTTTCACAATATCTAGTAAAAAGCTACAATAATCCAGTTATACTTGATTTTTCTTCAAGTATAAGTATCTTTTGAAAAGATTTCTAAAACTGTCTACAAGCAAGAAGGTACAGGGGAACAAAATTACTGTTGCGCAGTGTTCTGGAGCCCATCGAGGGAGAATTTTGCAGTGTAACCTGTGCTGCACCCCGAATGTTGCCTCTATGTACCAACAGTTGAGATTTGTATGTTTATTTAACGCTAGAAAATTCAATTTAAATGAAATTCCTCTGTTGAAGGAGGAGGAGTAGGGGTGGCATGGGTTGCAGAGAGTTCAGCTACACCCTTGGCCTGGAAACCGGGCTGGAAGAGTTTTATTCTAATAAACATTAGTACTCGTTGAGTAAGTTAAAAAAAATGGTGTGTGGAGTGCTGAGGAATAGGCAGTCACACATGGCGTGGTGGAATAACAGAGGAAAAACAGTAATGATAATTGCTTATACTTGCCAGCAGACATATCACTCTGCAACTTACAAGTGGCAGCCAACTGAAGCCCAGCAGGTGTGAGCCTGGTCAGTACCTGGATGGGAGACCTCCTGGGAAAAACTAAGGCTGCTGCTGGAAGAGATGTTAGTGTGGCCAACAGGGGGCGCTCATCCCGCAGTCCATGTGGGTCCTAATGCCCCAGTATAGTGACAGGGACACTTTACTGTAAACAGGTGCCGTCCTTCGGATGAGACATAAAACTGAGGTCCTGACTCTCTGTGGTCATTAAAAATACCAGGGTGTTTCTTGAAAAGAGTAGGGGTGTAACCCCGGCGTCCTGGCCAAATTTTCCATTGGCCCTTATCAGTCATGGTCTTCTAATAATCCCCATCTCTGAATTGGCTTCACTGCTCTTGGGTCCTGGGTCTGTTCTCCTTCCCACTGCTGGTACTGTAAACCTACTGTGTGCACTATGGCTGCCGTCGCATCACCCAGGTGGACACTGCACACTGGTGGTGGAGGGGAGTCCCCATTACCTGTAAAGCGCTTTGAGTGGAGTGTCCAGAAAAG